TTGTAGCGCTTGATGGTTTTTGCGACTCCACTTGGGGACACATTTAAAGTTTTTGCAATTTTCCGGACTGACTGACCTTCATTTCTTAAAGTAATGATGGCCACTCGTTTTTCTTTAGTTAGCTGATTGGTTCTTGCCATAATATGAATTTTAACAGTTGTCCAATAGGGCTGTCGGCTGTGTATTAACCTGACTTCTGCACAACACAACTGATGGTCCCAACCCCATTGATAAAGCAAGAAATTCCACTAATTAACCCTGATAAGGCACACCTGTGAAGTGGAAACCATTTCAGGTGACTACCTCTTGAAGCTCATGGAGAGAATGCCAAGAGTGTGCAAAGCAGTAATCAGAGCAAAGGGTGGCTATTTTGAAGAAACTAGAATATGAAACATGTTTTCAGTTATTTCACCTTTTATATAAATATGAATAAAACACACTGATTATCTATTATTAAAGACATAAATGATATATTACATATGACCTGATTCTTATTAATTATAGAATATGCATCCCATGCTTACTTATGCCATGTAACCCAAGTATGAACATGGTGTAAGACTAAATCTAAAAAAGTTGCCAAAGTTAAGACTGGAAACCAACATGGAGTCATTCTTTGCAGAAACAAACTCAAAATACAGTTCATTATCAAATTCTCAGGCACAATTAGTTTCTCTTACCTGAGATACTTTTAGGGGGTAGGATCCTCTGTCATTCTCAACAACACTGAGTGGGGGAATAACCCAGTCTCTCTTCCTCCTCCTCAGCCCATCACCGGGCTTGGGGAAATGCAGAATAGGCACCTGTGGATCAGCTGCACTCTGAAAGAACATGCATATTTGTAGCCAGTTATAATACAACATAAATTAGACACTGGACTGTCATTGGCTTAAAATGCTGCATTAGGGAAATTACAATGACAATGCATAAATACTTATGTTATTTTTTAAACAAAAAAGTCCTGTAAAAATGCTTTGAACAGCACTAAGACAATCTCTTTTGTTAAGTAGTAATCATTACCTGATTAACAACTGTGTTGTTACTTAGAAAAAGATTGGGTCTTTTATTCATCAAGGCAGGGAAAAAAACAAGATTAATGCATAGAGAAAGAAAGATAATGATGTTAACTACTAGTAAATGATAGCACACCACTTTAAATGATAATTGCTGTAAGGAGCAACCACACCCTAAAATTCTGCTATAAGGCTCCCTCTAAGCATTTTGAGAAAATGCAAAGGGGGATGACTGAAGGAGGTGTGATTATGTAGTATTTGATCCGGGAGTTGTCTGTCTGAACACTGCATGGTGAAGTATGGACAATGAAGTAGAGCAGTGTCAATGCATCAGAGCTGTAGCCCTGCTATTTAGTGAATACAGCACAGTAACTGGCAGGCCCATGTGTTGTGTTTAATGCTACTGCAGAGAAAGAAATACCATTCATGTCAATGTTGACTCTCTGCTGCTGATCATCAGGCTTGGTAAAGCTACCAGCAGCTATGTGTAAGAGGTACACTGGGGCTATGATCAGTCTACATAATGAATCTTGGACTCTTGCCTTGTCACAATTAGGGAGAGGCAACGAAAATTAACTGAATTAAACTTTTAAACCCAAGCACACACATGCCAGAAGCAAAAGCTGGTTTGTCTTCCATTTTTTACCCAATTATACTAATCATTTGCTTATTACCTTCTTTAACATTTATTATTGTAAACAACCCTGCAGGACCAGGGAACTTTGCACAGATAATAAATTAGAGCCTTCATACCATCTACTATGGCTTTAAAAAAAATAGGTATTATTAGGTTTTATATAGGTACTACAAAAAATAATTCAACAAATACTCTATGAAGTTACCAGTACACATAATAAAATATTGTTGCTTTCTAGAAAAAAAGAAAATTTGAAATTCATATCCTGCAGCTTGCAAACAATCTAATCTGGCATTACCAACAGAGTTATGAAAAAGACTAACAAAATTGAAGCACTGAGGTTTGGTAAATCATAAATAGCCACAAAGGGGCAGTGTTTATTAAAGAAAAAAGGGCCTTTGCATGCACTGCATTTTCACTGTCAAAACTGCTTCTAACAAAGTCCGTCTTGTTCCAGACGCTTGATAAACAACAATTTGATGCATGTGGCAGCTGCTAAACTACTGGACATAAATATGTTTTGAAAGTGTTCTCCTTTATTTAGACTTCCTTCGTGTTTCTTTAATAGTGTCTCAATGGTGTCCCACCTCTGTGTGATTAGCAGAGTCCACTTCATTAAGATGGTGCTGATGGTTGTGGTGTTTGTGGTGTCCATGGTGATGCTCAACATTTTGGTGGTGGTTCCCATGGTGATGCCTATGGTGCAATACCTTGACAGGAACACTCATTTTAAGGCCTTGTGAGTCACTGGAGTGGATGAGGAACTCCCGTTGTCCATTAATATCAACCGTTCTGTTTACCTGGAAGGGAAAAAAACACTCATTATCAAAGGCCAACATGCTGGCAACATATCTGGACTCAAGCAAGCTCTCTATATGACTAAATCAAAACTTGGGGGGAAAAAAATCAGTTTGACGATATTCTTCATCAACATGTGCAGGGTTGATCGACAACAGAGATTAACATGAAGGGTGCTATTTGTTCTAAATGGTCTCTATAGGGGTCGATCAGAAGAGCTAATCAGAACAACCAGGTCTTGAATCTGAATTTCAATACTATATACAGTGTTTTCCCTAGAAAATTATTCAGGCCCTGTTGCAAGCTTCAGTTGGGGTACAAATTTAGCGTGGGGTCTGGGGGTCCTCCCCCAGGAAATTTTGAGCATCAAACATTTCACAGACAACAAAAAAGGCACAATCTAGGACCAATTACAGTAGGTAATGAGGTGATGAGAGCCTCCGTCTGTTTATGATTTTTTGCTGGCATAGGCCCGGTGGGGGGTCCCATAGGCACGGTGGCCCGCCGAGCCTGTAGCAATGTAGGGGAAACACTGATAGAGGTTTTAATACTAGGCTAATATTACAAACTGAAAATAATAGTTAAAAAATATGTTCATTTGCAGCCAATATGGCAATATTTAAAGTTAGGACAACACATTCATAAACACTGAAGACTTTTAAATCATAAAAAATGTGCTCTTGACAGGAATTTGATATACTTTATTAATCCCTGAGCGGAAATTCAATGTTTTCACTCTTGCTGTCAATTACACACAGGTCTGAACACACACATGCAAAAACAGGACCTATATATGCAGTAAGTGGAGAGATGTCAGGGTGAGGTGCCCCGAGAGGTTGGGTGCCTTGCTCATGGCACCTCGGCAGTGCCCAGGAGGTGAACTGACACCTCTCCAGCTACCAGTCCATGCTCCATTGGACCAGAGGGGGGACTTGTACATGCGACCCTCCAGTTCCCAACCCAAGTCCCTGTGGACTGAGATACTGCCGCCCCAGTTGAACCCTCATCTGTGAGTGTATATCCCTGTCTTAAAATTAAGACAGGGATGTACACTCACAGATGACTCTGGTGTTTCCTGACATAGGTGGGCCACTCAGGTATATTAACAGCCACCAAAGTATATTTGGCAGTGTGATGAAGCCAATGGAAACCACATCATCTGCAAAGAGCAAAGCTGCAATTTTAGGACTAGGGTTGGGTGATATGGCCCTAAAATAATATCACAATATTTCAGGTTATTTTTGCGATAACGATGTTCTTGACGTTTTGAAAATTAGTTAAAAAAATATTATTAATTTAACAAAACAGTTTTGCAACAAAATAAGTGATATAACGTAACAGTTTGACATCAAAGATTCTGTAAAAAACAAACAAAAATGATGACTCATTTCTTAAGTTTGTGATCAACAACAATAACTTAAGAGTGAGTTTCAGATTCAGTATACAATATTAATAATCCAACTGATAAAATCTAGCAAAAATTAAACATTTAAACAATGATCAACGATCTTTGCCCTAGGATGGTCTGGTACCAAGCACACTTATGAATAAGCCTCTGCTTGAACAAGGCATTCGTTGTGGCCAGTCCATGACTAGCACAGTCAGGGGTCATGTGCACCCCCTCTCACAAACACACACACACACACACACACACACACACACACAAACAAAAGACTCCAAGAAGGCCAGGTATTACAATACACCACATGAGCATTAGAAACTGCAATTTTGCAATCAAGTGTGTTTAATTCCACTGACCTTCAATATGCCATCTTTTTGCACCATGAAATGGTCGTCTTCACTGCTGAAAAGGAACGATGTGCGCTCTGTGCAGTCTGTGAAGCCCACTAGAATTGGACAGAAGAAACAGCCATGCATTACAAATGTAGAACATACGGTAACAACAGAATTGGCAAGTTTTCAGAACACAGAGAAAAAAACATCTTTTTGCAAACTGTGACAGAAATCTATTAAAGTGCTTAAGTATCATTACTGCCTCTTTCAGGCAAACAGGGCTTGCAGACGTCCGTTTTGAGTCCGCGCGGACCTCCGCAGAGTCCGTTCCGCGTACGTTCCGCCTGAGTATGTTCGGGCCTTGACAGACACACATCACATATGTGGAGATACTTCACTTTCCTCCACCGTGTCAATGTGACAACGTCATCAAATGACTTGTCGACTTGACTTTATTGACAGATAAGTCGACCTGAAAAAAAATCAAATACATACATGTATGTATGTGTGTGTGTGTGTGTGTGT